CAGCAGTCACAGCTGCCAGCAAAAAGACCATCGTCCAAGTCACTCAAACGGTGACAACGCCGACTACAACTGCCACTCAGCAGAACATCAACAATAATAACGTCGAGACTGCCAGCTGGCAGGCCACTCACCCGACACTGAGAGAGAGGTAAGGGCGCCTTCGGCTTGCTTTTCGAATCATCTACGCTGTTATGGATCCATAAACGAAATATTCTGTTGCATTTTGTTCTCTTCAGGAATGCTTTGATGTTCAATAACGAACTCATGGCAGATGTTCATTTTGTTGTGGGTCCGCCTGGCGCATCCCAAAAAGTTCCAGCACACAAGGTGAGCGAATCCTACTGAGTCAAAACTACAGTCTATGGTCAAAACGCATCTCAAATGCCTCTTTCATCAAGCGTCTGTTTGACCGCTTTTCTGTGGCATTTCTGCTTCCAGTATGTGCTGGCAGTGGGGAGTTCTGTTTTCGGTGCCATGTTTTACGGAGATCTAGCAGAAGGAGAATCTGATATTCATATTCCTGACGTGGAGCCTGCTGCTTTTTTAATTCTTTTGAAGTAAGTTCTGCACTTAATTTATGTGTCAATGATGGGACACTCATTTTCTTTTCAATTAATTTTCAATTTCATTTTCCAAATTCTTAGAAAAAAATGTAACCACTGCTTATTAATATTTGGAAAACTTTTGTCCACCAAAAGTCATCTGGTGAAACCAATGTGGAAGAGAAAAATGTTAAATAGTCCCTCCTCGTGACTGTCAAGGTGAATAAATAAAGTTCTGATTTTTAACTCCTTTAAAATGTAATGATAATTATGAATCAATAATTTATGATGTTTTCTTTCTTTCTTTCTTTTTTGAAAAATAAGCAAAAAAAGTATTTATGTATTCAAGGTGTAAGGAACATTTTATAATTTTTACTTGGTTACACCACATGATATTTTTTTAAGAATTATCACATTGAAAATTTTCTTGAATGTTGGATTAATATGGTTTAATATGAATACAAAGAGCAGATTTCTAAGATGCATTTTATCTTTCCTCATATATTTATTTTTTAATCATTTGTTGTTGACCCCTGCATGTAACTCTAAACTCAATCACTGCAAAGCCTAATGCTTGTATAACAGCTATTAAAAAAGACATTGTTGGTTTCTAAGTCCTTTTTCTATTCACTTCCAGGTACATGTACAGCGATGAGATTGAACTTGAAGCGGACACAGTGCTGGCCACTCTGTACGCTGCCAAAAAGTATATAGTGCCTGCACTGGCTAAGGCCTGTGTCACCTTTCTGGAGACAAGCTTGGAGGCCAAAAATGCCTGTGTGTTGTTGTCCCAGAGTCGACTGTTTGAGGAGCCTGAGCTGACCCAGCGGTGCTGGGAGGTCATTGATGCTCAGGCTGAGCTGGCGCTTCACTCTGAGGGTTTCTGTGAGATTGATCTTCAAACGCTGGAGATCATACTAAAGCGAGAGACTCTCAACACCCGGGAGGCGGTGGTCTTCCAGGCGGCTCTCGATTGGGCTGTGGCTGAATGCAAAAGGCAGGGACTGGGACTGACCTCTCGTAATAAAAGGGCAGTGCTGGGCAAGGCTCTCTACTTGGTTCGTATCCCAACCATGACCCTGGAGGAGTTCGCCAACGGAGCTGCACAGTCAGACGTTTTAACGCTGGAAGAGACTCATGATGTCTTCCTATGGTACACGGCTGCCAATAAGCCCAAGCTGGAATTCCCACTGCAGAAAAGAAAGGGTCTGACGCCACAGCGCTGCCATCGTTTCCAGTCCTCGGCTTACCGTAGTAACCAATGGCGCTACCGCGGACGCTGCGATAGCATCCAGTTTGCGGTGGACAAGAGGATCTTCATTGCAGGGCTTGGCTTGTACGGTTCCAGTGGTGGAAAGGCAGAGTACAGTGCCATGATTGAACTCAAGCGCCAAGGAGTGACACTGGCCCAGAACCTAACAAAATTTGTTTCAGACGGATCTAGCAACACCTTCTCTGTATGGTTTGAACACCCGGTCCAAGTGGAGCAGGACACCTTCTACACAGTCAGTGCCATATTGGATGGGAATGAACTTAGTTACTTTGGACAGGAGGGTATGACGGAAGTGCAATGTGGAAAGGTGACCTTCCAGTTCCAGTGTTCCTCGGACAGTACCAACGGAACTGGAGTACAGGGGGGTCAGATCCCAGAGCTGGTCTTCTATGCCTGAAATTGTCAGGACATCCATATTGCAGTGCATTCCGCTCACTGGAATTAAGATGGATTGAATACAGGGTCTCGTGAGGCTCTTGCCTTTATTATGTAGCAGCAGTGAACTTGATGGTAATGGCGCTTTAGAACCACAGTGGACTCAGATGGAAGGAATGTTCTTCAGCTTTATTTATTGCAAAAATTATATATTTGATTTAATTATTGATGCTGCAGCAAGCAGATCTCTCTCTCTCTCTCTCTCTCTCGCTCTCTCTCTCTCTCTATATATATATATATATAAATGAAGAAAGTTGTACTGCTCTTGATTGTGGACGGAAGCCACTAGTGTGTCATGTTTTGTACATAACGTATCTGTTTTCAGCTTGATGCTGACTGACAAATAAAATGTCTTGTATTGGTGATCAGCTTCCTGAACTGCAGATTATAAACGTTTTTGTGACTCAAATCCAAAGTTGTTTTCACTTCTTATTCATAAAGGGCTGCACGATTATGACAAAAATTGTAATTGCGATTATTAATTACGATTATCACAATTTACATTGAATGATGTTTATACCATTGTTTGATGCAACTGCATGCCGTATTTTTATATGAAAATAAACAAGCTGAAAACACTAACTGAAAAACCTTTAGTGCTTTTCTATAGTATTAAGCTGTAAATGTCAAATATACATCGGATTGGTTTAAATATATGAATGGTATTATAATGTTATACTAAAACAA